TTCTTTGCGGCATATTTCGTCTCAAAATTAGGAAGAAAACGATGCTGTATATCTCTCCCAAGCCATAGTTCTCATACACCGGTTGTTCGTCTTAGTTAGCTCTAAACTTGACAGAGAAATGATATTTGATATACCTTCCCTTTAGCCTTTGAAATACGGTTTGAATTTTCTCGATGCGTTCTCGTTCTTGATTACATTATGCTGTGTCTGATATTGTATACATTATAGCCTTCATAGAAAATATATATCTTCCACGGACAATAAATCAGACCAAATAAACAGGCTTTATTTTTCTCCAGTTATGTTGTATTTAACTAAAACCTTTATATACAGTCGGACTTTTTGAAATGAAAGCTGATATTACTAGAATTTGGGTTCATTCATATCCTCAACGCGTTTAATTTCTAAGCAAAACCTATGAGAAATTTACCAATTGAATCTCTCTGGTTGCATAATAAAAACGGCAATAGTGGTATTAACATAATAAGGGTAAAGAAATTTGTAATGATAACGATTATAAAAATGATAGTAACAATAATAACGGTAATATCAATTTCAATGGAGATACAGCTAGGAAAGATAATATTAATGCTAAGAATGGCAGTAATAATGATGATAACAACAACAATACTAAAGTAGATAATAATGTAATGGTATTAATGATTATAATGACAGTAATAATGTTTAGAATAACGATGGCATTGACAGTGATGACGGCGATGATGGTAAAATAAATTATGATTGTGATGAAGATGTTAATGATAATGATAATAATAATGATGATAATAATGATGATGATATTATTATAACCATTATTATTATCATCATCATCATTATTATTATCCTTATTATTTTATTATCATAAGTGATGGAAAAAATCATATTTGCAGAACAAAGGGACAGTAATACGTATTTCATCAAAAGATTTGAAGTAATGTACTCATAATTTTACAGAGTAAATAGATTATACCAGATAAACTGAAGTAAAAAAGATAAAAAAAGAAAAAAAAGAAAGAAAGAAAGAAAAAAAAAAAAAAAAAAAAAAAAATATATATATATATATATATATATATATATATATATATGTATATATGTGTGTGTGTGTGTGTGTGTGTGTGTATGTGTGTGCGTGTTAAAACGTGGAAGTATTTACAAATATCAGTAAGATGTGTGAAAACATTAAAGAAAAATAAGAGAAACGATTTTTCTTTCTGTTCTTCTTGTTCATTCTTATTTTGTTTCCTTGTATTTATATTTTTTTCTGTGTTTTTCTTTTTATTTCTCCTTTTATCGTCTACTCCGATACAAAAGTTTGCAACAGGAAGGAAGTCAGAATAAGCAACAGAGTGAGGGTAATTATACATAAAAGGGAAGGCCCGACGAAAGAAAGGGAGAGGGAGAATGCAAGGGACAAGTGGAAAAGGGAGAAGAAAAGAGAATGGCAGACAAGGAAATGCAAGCGAGTGTAAGAGAAGACAGGAAGCTGAGTGTTATATGGGTCACGTACTTATATGGGAACAGAAGCGTCAGTTCGGTTAGCATGTCAAGAAGTTGGTCATACCATTCTTTATGTCAACTAATTGTTTCTTTGTTTACCCTGTTTACCCTGTTCACTGACTGAATAATGACGTCTCCTGAACCTGCCCAGGCCACCCTCTCTCTAACCCTGGAAGGAGTGTATATTAAGATATACCCATGGTGATTTATACATTCTTAATGTTTTTCTTTTGATCGTAGCGTGATGATTTTACATTTCCTTGGCAGTTCTTGCCAATCGTCGATGAAGGTTATACAAACGATGCTAACACGTATTGTTGCTCTGCGGTATAAATCAGCGCAATTGGTCACACGAAAAAGGTTGCACTTGACAGCCCCGAGGGCCTGTGTGCCGCATGTATTAATAACGCTGTCACGTGCTCAGGGATTCCTGGGGCGGGATGCTGTGGGCGGAGCGAAGCGCTTATGGTGGGAAGGGACACCCTGGCATCAGAAACAGAAGATCTTGTGTCACAGGGAAATGCCGTCTCATGCCTGGGTGTCTCTGGTAATCATATACTTGGCAAGATGTCAGTTTTCATGGCTGACATTTGAGAGCGCACATACAGCGAACACCGTCATTCGCGTAAAAGTGCTGATGAATGTTAATTCGTCGACATTCGGTATTCCGACCTTATTATATAAAGTCTCATAGAAATAAACCTCTGACGTATACGACACATATTTCATAACATAAAGAATAAGTGGATTGTTGAAATAGAGGTAGCGGATATATTTTTTTTAGGCAAGAGATATCCATTTTGGTGCTAATGAGGGCTTTATTGGGCATGATTTTGCCAAGCAGCTGATGACATCAGTTAGTGATGTTTAGCTAAAAGTGACATGAGAAATGTAAGAACTGATTTATGTCTTTTGTCAAGGATATGAAATATTTAAATGGTTTAATCAACTTGTTCAAATCACGAAAGGGAATTATCCCTTAAGTATAGAGAACATTATATTCTTAAAAGCACTTTCTGTGAACGATTCCAGGGCCAGACTCTTCGTACTCGTCCTTGGTGATCCACATGGCTTGGAAGGTGGACAGAGAAGCTAAGATGGAGCCGCCGATCCACACGGAATATTTGCGCTCAGGAGGAGCAATGATCTTGATTTTGATTGTCGAGGGAGCCAAGTTTGTGATTTCCTTCTGCATGCGATCAGCTATACCTGGATACATGGTGGTGCCGCCAGACATGACTGTGTTTGCGAAGAGATCCTTCCTGATATCGACGTCACATTTCATGATGGTATGATACACTGTTTCATGGACACCTGCGGATTCCATGCCAAGGAAAGATGGTTGGAACATGGCTTCTGGAGCACGGAAGCGCTCGTTGCCGATGGTGATGACTTGGCCATCGGGAAGCTCATAGGATTTATCCAAGGAACTGGACACTGCAGCTTGAGCCATTTCATTTTCGAAATCTAGAGCAACGTAGCATAATTTTTCCTTGATATCACGAATGATCTCATGTTCGGCAGTGGTGGTGAAGGAATAACCGCGTTCAGTCATGATCTTCATTAGATAAGCGGTAATGTCACGACCAGCCAAGTCGAGACGAAGGATAGCATGAGGAAGAGCATAACCTTCGTAGATGGGGACAGTGTGGGATACACCATCTCCTGAGTCCAAAACGATACCAGTGGTACGCCCAGAAGCATATAAGGAGAGAACAGCCTGGATGGCGACGTACATGGCGGGGGCGCTGAAGGTCTCGAACATGATCTGGGTCATCTTCTCACGGTTGGCCTTGGGGTTGAGGGGAGCCTCAGTGAGGAGGACGGGAGATTCCTCAGGAGCAACACGGAGTTCGTTGTAAAAAGTATGATGCCAAATCTTCTCCATGTCGTCCCAGTTAGTGATGATACCGTGCTCGATGGGGTACTTGAGAGTCAGGATACCTCTCTTGCTCTGGGCCTCATCGCCGACGTAGGCGTCCTTCTGACCCATGCCGACCATCACACCCTGATGACGGGGGCGGCCGACGATGGAGGGGAAGACGGCACGAGGGGCGTCGTCTCCGGCGAAGCCGGCCTTGACCATGCCGGAGCCATTGTCGCACACGAGCGCGCATTCCTCCTCGTCACACATGATGTAGCTGTAAAACATGAAGTGAGTGGTTATTAATTTGCAATGATATAACAAAAATTATTTTGCGGCGATATGATCTACACAAAAGAATATCTACAATGCTTATCCATAGACATTCATATACTGCAGCAGTTCCTGATATAATTGTTACATCTGTTTCCTTTCTTATTATTATCATTATCACTGTTATTATTATCGTTAGCGTTCTCTGTTTCTAATTATTATCACCATTGCTACTATAGTGATTATTACACTTGCAATATTATCACTATTATCCTTATTATTATTATTATTACCATTATTATTGTTTTGTTATTATTATTATCATTATTACTTACGTTATTATCATCATTATCATCAATGCTTTCATTAATGTTAACTTTAGAACAAATATCATTATTGTAATCATTATAGTTATCATTATTGTTATTATTCGTCACGTTATCATCATCATTATTACTGTTGCTGTTGTTATTATTATAATTATTATCTTTGTTATCATTATTATCATTATTATTGTGATCATCATTGTTGTTAAACTTGCTGCTGTTGTTATCGTTATTATTGTTATTATCATCATTACTACTATTATTACTATCAAGATTATTATCATTTTACTGTTACTACTATTATCACCATTACGATTATCATTATCATGATAATGATGATCATATTGTTATTATTATCATTATATTTATAATTATCATTATCATTGTTATTATCATTACTATCATCATTAATGTTACTACTATTATCATCTTTATCATTGTTATTGTCATTATTTTTATTACTAATATTATTATTATCATCATTATCATCTCTATCATTATTATTAGTAGTAGTATTTTTCTTTATTATTATTATTACCATTATTATCATTATTATTATTGTTATTATTATTATTATTATTATTATTACTATTATTAATATTATCATTATCATTTCTATTATTGTTTTTATTACCATTATTTAGTGATAGTAGTTGTAGTAATATCAATATCATTATATTGTCAGCAGACGTAGGTAAATATTTATATTAATGAAGTTAACGAGAATAATGATGATAAAGATCGTTTATTAATAACGATAATAATGATAATGAGGTTGTAATAAAGTTAACAATGATAATGTAAAATAAGTATAATGATATTGGCAGTGATAATAATAATGATAACATTAGTGATGATAGTAATAATAGTAATAATTTATTAATATTATGATTACCTTTATTGTTATTATCATTAATGTTATTATTATCATTATTATTATTGTTATTATTATTAATATTATTATTATCATTAGCATTATTATTATTATTATCTTCTTTTGCACAGCTGATGTTGCTGGAGTTTCCCCTGACACCAAGCGGCTTCGCGTCGCCTTAGGTGTTAAGGACTTTCCTCAGTATCCTTGCTGTTCCTAGGATACAAGCTTGTTGAAACTTTACAATTAGTTCATGCATCTCTAACTTCTTCAACCATTCTGGCATGTCACGATGGATGGTTCCTAGGGCTCCAATCACCACTGGTATGATGTCGACTTGTTTACATTTCCATATTCTCTTGATTTCTCCCTTTAGATCTTGATATCTGTCGACTTTTTCCTTCATCTTGTTTTCCACCCTGGTGTCAAATGGACATGCTACATCAATAATTTGACACGGCTGCTGTTGTTTGTCATAAAACACGAGATCTGGCCGATTATGTTCAAGCTGGTGGTCTGTTTGTACCTTAAAGTCCCACAGGATCTTGTACCTTTCTGTTTCTATCACTCCCTCCGGTTCGTGATCGTACCACTTATCAGCTCTCTTTACACCAACTCTTCCACAAAACTCCTAATTAATTATCTGCGCAACCTTATCATGTCTCCAGTTCTTGTACTGTTTTTGAGTTAATGCACTGCATTCGGTGATGATATGACTGATGGTTTCGTCTCCGACTCCACACAATCGGCACTTTGGTGAGATATCAGCTTTATAGATGTACTTTTTGATGGCATTTGTTCTTAGGGCTTGATCTTGTGCAGCCATTATTAGTCCTTCAGTTTCTTTCTTTATGATTCCTTTCTTCAACCAATCCCACGTAAGTCCGTGTCTTCCGTCTTCAGTATCTCTGATGAATTTCCCATGGAGTTCCTTTGCTTTATATCTTTCATATTTCTCTTTCATGATGTTATCAGCATTCGGTCTTTGTTCTTTCAGGCCTTGTTCTTTCACTACAGCTTTCAACATTGTTTCTGTTGATTTCTCTAGATATTTACTCAAACTTAGGACTTCGATGGCAATACAGTCTTCAACTCCTATCAATCCCCTTCCTCCTTCAGATCTTTTTACGTACAGCCTATCAACATCAGCTTGTGGATGAAGACATCGGTTTATAGTCAGAAACTTTCTGGTCTTCCTGTCCATTTTTCTCATCTCCTCCTTTGTCCACTTGACAATTCCTGCGCTATATCGAACGACCGCAACTGCTCTTGAATTTATTGCTGTTATGATGTTTCCTCCATTGAGTTTGGACTTCAAGATCTTCCCGATTCGCCTCAAGTATTCGTTCTTGATGTTCTTTTTCATTTCTTCGCTCATGATATCATCTGATTCTAACACTCCTAAGTATTTGTACGAGTCCCCCTCATCTAATGACTTAATTTCTTCTTGATTGGGAATACGTACTCCCTCGCTCTGCATGATCTTTCCTTTCTTCATTATCAATGCTGCACATTTACTTATGCCGAATTCCATTTTAATATCGTCTGTGAAGTCATTAACAGTTTGAACTAATGAGTCAAGTTGTTTCTCATTTTTCCCATATAACTTCAAGTCATCCATGAAAAGTAGGTTATTATTATTATTATTATTATTATTATTATCATTATCGTTATTATCAATGATTTTATTACTGTTTTTCCTATTATTATCATAATTATCATAATTATATATATTATCATTATTATTGTTATTTTCCTCATCATTATTATTATCATTATTATTGTTATTATTTTCATCATCATTATTATTATCATTTTTACAATTATGATTATCTTGTTACCAATGTTGCAAAATTTATTATTGTTATTATTATCGTTATTATCATCATTAGTATTAATAATAATGCTAATAATATTATTATTGCTATAGCTATGATTATGTCATCATTACTATTACTGTTACAATTATTTTTATCACTATTATTATTATTGTTATCATACTGTTAATATTATTATAAATATTATAATCATTTTGTTATTAATGTTGGGTTAATTTAATAATTTCTATTAGCGTTATCGTTATTATAACCATCGTCATGATCATCATTATCATTATCATTTACATTATCATTATCATTACCATTATCAATATCGATATCCTTAACACTATTGCTATCATTACTATCACTAGATAAATAGTGTATTGATTGAACATCAAACTAATTACAAAAATGATAGAACGATTCAAATCATAATAAATAAGCAATGTGTATATTCACTTCCCTTTCATTAGCAAAACACCTATCAGAGACGTATTAGGAAAACGTTCCGCATCATAAGAGAAACTTCCGCCTTAGTATAAATATCTTACAAAAACTCACCTATGAACTGTTGCGATGAGTATGAAGTGTGAAGGATGAATGAGCCTCCAGGTCCTCTTACACCGACATTTATAGAGAGAGACTCTGGTCGTAACTTGTCGTAGCTGTAAATTGGCTACATATTACCAAAGAATGCGACAAGTCAAAATATTCCAAGAACTGTCATAAGGGTCCCAGAATCCCGTTAAAATTCACATCTTGGGCGCCAGGGTTAGGATAAGTATCTTAGGATTTTGTTCATATATATATATATATATATATATATATATATATATATATATATATATATATATATATACATATATACATATATATGTATATATATATATATATATATATATATATATAAGCGCGCTCGTGCGTGTGTGTGTGTATGTAAATACACACACAGACAACGACAATAACAATAAAAATGATAATAGTAATAATAATGATAATAATAATAATAATAATAATAATAATAATAATAATAGCAGAAGCAATGATTGTAATAATAACAGTAATAACAACAACAACAATAATAATAATCATGATAATAATGATGATAATAATAATAATAATGATAATAATAGAAATAACAATAATAATAACAATAATAGCAACAACAATAACAATAATAATAATAATGGTGATGATGATGTTGATGATGATGATGATGATGATGGTAATGATGATGAAAATAATAATGATAATAATAACAAATATTATTATAATAATAAATCTTGTAATGGCGATAGTAACAATTAAAATAATATAATAATAATAATAATAATAATAATAACGATAATTCTCTTCATCTTTATCATCATTATTTTCATTATCATCATCATCATCATCATAATAATGATAATAATAGTTATAACAACAGCAATAATAATGAACATAATAATAGTACAAAAATATTATAATAATGAAAATAGTGACAATGATAATCATAACATTAATGATGATACCAATAATACTAAAAAATATAATATTATACTAGATATGATAGTAGCAATAACGATAACAACACTAATCATGATAACAGTTAAAGCAATAATATCAATAATAGCAATAATGATGATGATGATAATGATAATAGCAAAGCTAATAATAGTAATAATAATGATAATTGTAATGATAATTATGATAATAATAGAAATAACAATAATAATATTGATAATAAGGATAAGGATAATAATAATGATAATAATGATAATAATGATAATAACAGAAATAACAATAATAATAACAATAATAATAATGATAATAATTAATTGCTAGTAATAATAATGATAATAATGATAATAATGATAATAATGATAATAATAATAATAATAATAATAATGATAAGAGGAGTGACAATAATAATTATGATAATAATACTAATAGTGATAATAATAGAAATAACAATAATAATAATGATAATAATAGAAATAACAATAATAATAATAATGATAATAATAATAATAATAACAATAATAATATTGATAATAAGGATAAGGATAATAATAATGATAAAGATTATGATAATAACAATAGCAATAACAAGGATAATGAAAATAAGAATAATAACAAAAGTAACAATAATGATCGCATCAATGATAATAATAAAATGTTATTGTTTATTATAATGATATTAGTAGTAGAAATAACAATAATAATAACAATAATAATAATAATAATAATATAATAATAATAATAATGATAATAATGATAATAATTAATTGCTAGTAATAATAATGATAATAATAGAAATAACAATAATAATAATAATAATGATAATAATTAATTGCTAGTAATAATAATGATAATAATAATAATAGTAATAATAATAATAACAATAATAATAATGATAATAATAATAATAACAATAATAATAATAATAATGATAATAATGATAATAATAATAATAACAATAATAATAATGATAATAATAATAATAATAATAATAATATAATAATAATAATAATGATAATAATGATAATAATAGAAATAACAATAATAATAATAATAATGATAATAATAATAATAATAATGATAATAATAATAATATAATAATAATAATAATAATAATAATGATAAGAGGAGTGATAATAATGTAATGATAATAAGAAGGATGGTAGTAATAATGATAAGAATAGTAATATTCATGATGATGATATTAATTACAATGATGATAATTATGATAAGATTAAATACCACTGCTACTACTACTAATAGTGTTAATACTAATGATAGTGATAACAATAATAGCAATAGTAATAATAACAATAGTAGCAGTAATAATAATACTGGCAATAGTGATAATGATAATAATATTAATCATGGTTATAATAATAATGATGATGATAGTGATAAAGATAATGAAAATAATTAAGATAATACAGAACAACAATGTTTAGAATGAAAATAGTGATAATAATGGTAATAAGTATAACAATAATAATATTGATAATAAGGATAAGGATAATAATAATGATAAAGATTATGATAATAACAATAGCAATAAGAAGGATAATGAAAATAAGAATAATAACAAAAGTAACAATAATGATCGCATCAATGATAATAATAAAATGTTATTGTTTATTATAATGATATTAGTAGTAGAAATAACAATAACAATGATAAGTATAATACTAATGATAGAAATAATAGTACCAGTGCTGATGAGGATAATAACAAAAACAATAATAACAAAACAATGATAACGATAATGGTTGTAATAATAATAATGATAATAATTAATTGCTAGTAATAATAATGATAAGAGAAGTGATAATAATGATAATGATACTAATACTAATACAAATAAAAAGTAATAGTAATGATAACATCAGTAATACTAATAATAATAACGACAATAATAATAATGATAATAATGATAATAATATTGATGATAAGAACAATAATAATAGTAACAACATCATCATAATCAACAATAACAACAACAAAAACAACAATAATAACCTTATGTAGGTTTGAAATATCCAGCATATGCAAATCTGCGCGAGAGCACACACAAATCACCCACATGAGGGTGTGTGTATGCTTTCGTGAGCTCGCCCGCGGAATTGCATTTGTTGGGTAAATCATAGAGTGAGAGAGAGAGAGAGAAAGAGAGAGAGAGAGAGAGAGACCTACACAAATATATTTAAATACATATGTGTGTATATATCTATCTATCTATCTATCTATATATATATATATATATATATATATATATATATATATATATATATATATATATATATACATATATTCACACACACACACAAACACACGCATAAACACACAAACAGACACGTACACACGAACACACACACACACACACACACACACACACACACACACACACAGAGACAGAGACAGAGACAGAGAGACAAATATATTTAAATACATGTGTATATATATATTACATATATATATATATGTATATATATTACACATATATATATATATATATATATATATATATATATATATATATATATATATATATATACATATATATATTAATCTCTCTCTCTCTCTCTCAATACACACACACACACACACACACACACACACACACACACACACATATATATATATATATATATATATATATATATATATATATATATATATACGTATATGACATACATAATATCTTGTATATATTTCTACACATACACAATTTGGCATAAAATTATCTGTTGGCTATATTCCTTTCCCTTCCTATATTACATACGCATCGACTACCGCTTTGCTTCTTAAGCGACAAAAATGTAAATCCTTATTCATTCTTCCTTTGTTCTCCATTCTTCAGTCATGAAACGTTCGTATAAGATAGAAAAATATGTTTCATTTAACCTAATCTAATGGGAATGAATGCTTCTTACTCTTTGGAAAAAATAGCTGTCATTTGCCCATGGAGACAAAGCGCGGGAAAACGTCCTGTACCTGATAGTTTCGCGCCAAAAGGAGGCAGATACCGACACCAAGAATGTAACCAGCAAATCACTGACATGAGCTGTGAGATACAGAAATGGTTTTGTTTTAGCATAGGCCTGTTACGATTATTCACATATCTCAGGTAGATTTTTTATCGAATGATTACTACATGGAACGGTTTAGAATATACATTTAAATGTCGAGGGTAAATTACAAATTTTCCGCGAGGAGC